ATTAGCTGATTGCAGATAGGATTCCTGGTTTCCATAAATGGATTCTGTTATTCCAGGGCTCATCGCCAATCCTTATATCAGCTTAAGAGGAGAGCACTAACCTAATCAATGTTTTATAATCTTCGGTATTTTTCCTTTTAGGTGCTGCTTTGATGTTCCCCAACTTGCTTGGGATCATTTTTGTTGTTGTTGTTTGATGTTGTCTTATCTGACTGGTGTGTTGGTTACTTGCCCATGCTGGATCACGAATTTTTAAGTCTGTTGTTTTGGAAGAATGATCGTTGACTGCAGCTGTGAGAATAATTGTCTTAACTCTTATTACACTTATTTTGGTCATTATTGTCTTATGGTGAAATGGTAGATTTATTCTAGACTGAAAGTTACAACTCAATTGGACTGTTTGTTGCTGCTATATTTCCACTGTTAGCTCGTACTAATTTTGTGATAGTCTAGAAAGGCGAATGCACTGTGTGCTCCGATCACGTTATTTACATCCTGGGGTTTAACTGCTGTTTGCTTCTGTAGAGCCTATATCTAGTTTAATCAATGTATTTGAAAACACTATTATTTTCCTCCTTACCTCTTTCTTTGCTTTATATGAAGGAATATAGGCTAACACATCCAGATGTCACAGTCCTCGACCCTCCGGATGCCATACAGAATGTATACAATCGCCAATACATGCTTGAAGATGTTGCAGACCTGAACTTGTCGGACAGCTACGGTAATTTTTCCTGTCTTGTTATGATCATTTGATAATTATTACTGCTAAGGTTACATGCAATTGTGGCCATTGATGATTTCTTTTTTAGCTTGAAGAAGTGGGGACGGCCAATGTCAGGCTGCTGTGTAAGGGGGTTTAAGGGTGGGTTTGCCATATAACCAGAAAAAAGAAGGATTAACTTGTTTTTGATTGCTTAATAGGTAAAGTTGGTGTTCCAAGGCAACTGGTTATTGAGAAAGATTCTTCATCTATTTCAGATGCAGTGAGTAAAGCTGGACTGAGACTTCCTCTTGGTATGTATTTTCTTTTCCTCTTCGTCTTTAATCAACTGATCTTTGGGCAGTTGCCACTTTATAAACTCAATAAGCTTCATACCTCGGTAAAGGTAGGTGTAGGCATCAAAATTGCAGCTGTGTAACTTACTGGGGACAAGCATTTGAATACTTTGAACAAGATGTCTTCCAAACTTGAGCAATATGTAGGCAAAGTGATCCATTCACACAATTTTCCTGAATTGAGCTGCTTTTATCTTCTCAGTTGCAAAGCCTTTGGCTGCTAAGTCCCATGAGTTGTCGCTAGCCTATGATAAGTTCTCTCTTCAGATGCTTGAACCCCCACTTGTCCTACAGGAATTTATCAACCATGGTACGTATATTAGTTGAAAATCTTCAATATGCAGTTGTTTTATGAGTCATCTAGTTGCTGATTATGTATTTTTTTTCCTTTTGTAGGAGGAATTCTGTTTAAGGTATACATTGTTGGGGAAGCAATTAAGGTTGTTAGACGATTCAGTTTACCTGATGTTAGCAAACGTGAGCTGTCAAAAAACCCTGGGGTTTTTCGATTCCCAAGAGTTTCTTGTGCTGCTGCATCTGCTGATGAAGCAGATTTAGACCCTTGTGTCGGGGGTGAGCCATCTTTTCCCTCAGCTACTCTGTGTCTGGATACATCGAGTACATCATAGTTGCTTTAGATATATAGATGCACCGTTATGGCATACACCAAACAGATGAAAAATAAGTTGTTTTTTATATTTCTTTTTTATTTAATCATTTGAAGAGCTGGACATCCCTAATTCTCAAGGCGTATCTTGTTGAGAATTCTCTAGGACCATGAGCTGCTAAAAACTTTGGGATCGTGGGGTTACAGGAATTGAATTTGGAAGGAGTTCCTTTAACTATGATTTTGAACCTCTAGTGACAAGCTTTTACCTTTTTGCACTTTCTTCGCCCCAATAAATTAGACTTTTTTTTCTAATTTATTCATCAGAAAATCTGTCCCTTACTCCTTGAAATGGAAATGCTCTTGCTTCAACATTTCAGACTATTGTTTTAAACACTTATTTAACTAACACAATACACTAATGCTTTTTAATATCTTATTGTTGAACCCTGCAACTTAGAGTAGGTTTGACTAACTGGGATGTAGAGAGCATTTGCTGGTTAATAACCTTCCTCTGTCAGTTCTTAGAAGTGCTTTAGATGAATTACACTGCGACGATGTTGTATTATAAGGATTACAAGGAAGAAGGGATTGTTTAGGAAGGAAGGTAATAGTCATGATGGTGCTCTGGTATATAATTCTGTTTGAAGTCGTTAGCAGATAGAGCACTCAATCTCTAAGTCCGAAGTTTAGAAGCTACAGATATAGAGCTCTGTTAGACTGTTACATACTGTATTTACTTCATGTTAGTGAATCAGACCAGTGATTGCTATATTACCTTGGTGAATAGTATACTTCCTCGGGAAGATACGTGCTGTGGAGATAACATTTAATTATGGATATGTAGTTGTAGAGAACTGAAGTAAATCATGGAAAGTGGTCATGATTATTTTCACTTTTTATCGTTTGCAGAGCTTCCTCCACGACCATTACTTGAGAAGCTTGCTAAGGAACTTCGGCGCAGACTGGTACTTTACTTTCTGTTTTCTCTTTCCGTCATAAACTGTGTTGGAAATGATGCTTGGTGCTTGTTTTACAGTTTCTGTATTCTTGTCTTCATTTTTTTTTCCCGCTGTATCAATAAGGCAAAAACTCTAACATTATTGCAATGTTTTGTGCAGGGTCTCCGGCTCTTCAACTTGGATATAATTAGGGAGCTTGGGACCAAAGACCGATTTTACGTCATAGATATTAATTACTTTCCTGGTAAGAAAAGCCTTCTAAGGGGAATTACACTCTCTAGAGTTAAAAGTAGTTGATTGTCAAGAAAATTTCACCTGAAAGTCATGACTGCAACATATTTGTATTGTGCTGGCAGGTTATGGGAAAATGCCAGAATATGAACACATATTTACTGATTTTCTCCTCAGCCTGGTGAAGCAGAAACAATGAGGAATTGAGAAATCCATTTCTGGTTAACTATAATTTCCGGTGAAAATGTCATAAGGAATTTATCCACCCGCCAGTACGTGGAGGGATAGAACTGATTACTGTGCAATTCCTAAAAGCTGGTAGAAGATGCGGTGGTGAAGTGCAGAGAAGTTCCATTAGCCTTCTAGCATGAATGCTGGATGAAGGTTGTTCTTTGGAAACTCGCTCGTTGTACACAAATCCAATTGTTGACCTTGGGATCCAGCTTAGTTTCCGCTGTCTTTTTTTCTTTTTCTTTTGGGGGCATAAAGCAGTTCTATTCTTTCTTCTGGTTGGGGTGGAATTTTGTAGGAAAAGCCCTGCTGTGTCTGCATTCTCGGATGGGTGGTCTTTGATAGGTAGTCAAAAGCTGTGCCACCTTGTAAAAATGCCTTTTACAGTAGGAACATACATGTACATTCTTGACTTTTCTGTTCTACTCCAACTCTTGGGAAAGTTTGGTCTTTCGTGTTCTCTTGCTATGAATTTCGTCTACTTGAGCCGAGGGTCTATCGGAAACAGTCTCTCTATTCCGAGGTAATAAGGTTTGTGTACACACTACCATTTTCAGACCCTACTTGTTGTCATCGTCGTCTTGGCTTTGCAACATAGTTTAGCGTGTTAAACACAAAGGTGAGACTTTGAATCCAAGATGTAAAAGCTTGGAAGCTTTATAGAGCTTTAACCGGAGAGTGCTTACATATATTAATCTTCAAGTTTAGGGCAAGGGGAAGATGACCATGCGACGCTGTGGATAAGTACGCCTCTGCTCTTCCGATGAAGCATATGAATAAGCAGGATTTGTAGCACAAACATAGTATACGCCCAACACATTGAGTAGTTAAATGTGTTCTTGAAATAGTCTTGTAACAAGTATAAAACGAAAAGGTAATAAAGGAGAAAACACCTCGTTTCTTCAAAAAATGTTCAATTTGTTGGGGAAAAGACTTTTTTTTGATAGAACTTTAACTGACGAAAACATAAAAAGATGGAGAAATGTTTGATTATACATTTCTTGTTCCTCAGGAAAACATGGGTATTGCTCTCTTTTACACTCAAGTTTGCACCATGTTACTTTCTTTCTTTCTTGTTTTCCCTTTCTAAGATTTAGTCCGGAGAAATAAGAGGTTATGTTATTTTAGCAAATTCTGAATTGGCAGTTTCACAAATTTGTTGCAAGCATTCTTCTTCACAATGTCTAAAAAAGTGTAAAGAGTTTGTGTTCTTGAAAGACCCATAAATTTTGCCCATGCCGGATCACTAGGTTACTCATTTCCACTCACCAATCTGACAGGAAGAAGAGTATAGCAACGTATAATTAATTCTCCTACTTGGGATTTAGCTGATGCATAAGAATATGCATTAAAAAATAAGAATATTTTCATGCTTTCTAAAATATTTTTGTAAAAAAGAAAGAGAGATAAAGAAGTTAGGCTTAAACTCGACCCATCTTCCATCAATATGAGTTTAACCAGTTATAACCCAAACGAAGTTAACCATCTGACTTTATAGCATAACATACTACTTTATTGAAATTGGCATTCCCTTGCTTAGGTCGAGTAAGCTACTACTAGGATATCTTTCAGCATTAGAAAGGTTTAACAAAAAAAAAAAGCATAGTGCACAAGGTATCTAGCGTTCATATAGGATTCGAAAAAGAACCGTACCTAAGAGATGTGATAGATTGTTTACTCAAATATAAGTATTAGTGACTATTTACACGGCTCGAAACCATGATTTATAGGTCACACGGAGAAGGTATTCATTGTTTATTATCTCTATTTTGTGTTTAGCACCAGCTAATACATTTTCTTGAATATGCTAGCTAGACGCAATTTCACATAGACTACTATAGTAATCGCACTTCTATAATTACTTTCATTACGTCAAAAAGAAACTCGTAATTTTGATAAACATTTCTAATCACCTGCCAAATCATAAAAGACTAAAATTGAACTTGTAGTAATATTCAACGGGCAAGAGCAAAATAGTAAGTGAAAATTCTCAAGTATCAAATGGAAAACACCATTACTCAAAACGCAAATGACAAATTAACAATTACAGAAAATTACTCGGTTTTGGGCTCAGAAGCGGGTTGACCCGATTCATCAGTAGCAAATGACCACTCAGGAGGTAACGCAGGCAATGGAGGATAAACAGCGGGTCCACGTCGAATGTCCCAAGCTTGAGTCTTCCGTGGGCGTGTCTTCTTGTGGTGAGCAGTGGCCTTCTTCTGTGGCCTTGACGAACACTCAATTGCCAATCCTCCTACACTTTTCGGTGCCGCCGCCAACTTGGTAGCTCCGCCGTAGAAACCGGTGGTTGAAACAGTTGAAGAACGCGGCAACACCGCCATTTTCAACCCGAATATCGCCGAGGCTGACATTTTTTACTCCACAGGTTTTCTTCTTTTTTTCTGGTTCTGTTTGGGACCTTTGAAATTGGATTGCCTTTGTTATCTTTCTGCTGATTTAACTTTGCTGCCCGTACGCCGTCGTATTAGGTATTTGGGCCTAGAGCCTCTTGGCGTGAAAGGACGCATTTGCATCTATACCCGCTTTTTGGGTCACGTTTTAACTTGTGTCTGTTTTGCAAAAAAAATTGCAAGCATACCCACTTTTCCGCGTAACTTCAGCATACGGGACTGAAGTAGCAAAGACAATCACACAAAACTTCAGCATTCTAGTAGACGGGACTGAAGTAGCAAGTGTGCTGAAGTTTTTATTAGTAATTGCTGAACTTAAGCATAGTAGCTGAAGTTTTGTTCTCTATTTGCTGAAGTTTTTTTTTTTGCTGAAGTTTTTGTTTTGTAACTGTCGAACTTCAGCTCTAGAGCTGAAGTATTTGTTTTGTAACTGGCGAACTTCAGCTCTAGAGCTGGAGTTTTTGTTTGTAACTGGCGAACTTCATCTCTAGAGTCTTCTTCCCTTCATAATGATACAACTATTTCTGCTCTAACTTCGAGAAGATTTCCAGCGTCATCTTACTGAACTCCATCACTGAACAGCAAAACAAGCAATGAAAGTAATTTACTGTACTGATAGATTATGCAATAGTTAATGGAAACTGCTCTCGATGAAACGGAAACGTTGTGGTATGTCATCCCAACATTTGAAGAATAGAAGAATTACAATAAGACTTGACACCAATATGATGCTGCTAATGCCATGCGTTATCAAATAGGATCTATAGCTTGGTCGTAAACCAGCTGTATCAGCATTTAACTGATCATCTATTGCCACATTCAATTAAGCAAGAAGACTTTGATATTCTTCGGAGAGGCATTTATGATGCGAAATTGCACTGTATATTCCTATTTTTTTCTTCTGCATTGACAGAAATACAATCTGTGTAGTGTGACTTCAGAAATAGGTTGAGGGCGGATATAACTTTGAGGAGGAGGAGGAAAAGGAGGAGGAGAAAGAGGGCTGAAGTTGTTTTAAAAGTAGGTACAAGTTAAAACTTTTTAAAAAATGGGTATAGATTAAATGAGGGCGACCAAATAGGGCGCCTTTACGCTTGAAAGAAACTGGGGTGATCATTTGTTTCAGGCCCAAATCAGTCTGATCTTTCCTTCCTTAATCCACTAACTGAATCGTTAGTTCATTATTACATGCGTGTTGTTGTAATACTATTTAAAGAGTTTTTTGAATTATTTACTATAATTTCAACTTTCAACTTATTAATAGTATCAAAAGAAGTATTGGAGTTACATTCATGTGGTTGAGATTAGAGTTGAGACTCCCTTTACATCACTCAGGTGTAAGGTTTCAGCCTTACCAAAAGTCATTCCTTCTTCTAACTTTCACTCTTTAGCGGAAGCTTCACAAAACAAAGTTCTAAAAATAAAAAGTATAATTCCACGGAACAAAATCCTTGAGAAAGATAAAGGGTAAAAGGTAGAAATTATGATGTTCTATGGAGGAACTGCCAACTGAATCATATTGTTTGCAATGCGGTAACAAAACACGGGAAGAATTTCGAGCAAAAAATAGTAAGGGTTGATCAAGATAGCTAAGGAAACTATAAACATCACCAAATAGGTATATAGGTAGATTAATTTAATTGGTATCAACATTAAAGGTGTTTACCCTAAAAATTGGATAACAATTAAACTTATAATGTGGTGGTAACGATATGTGATTTCACCTAATACCAATCGATAAATGCAAAGAGTAATAATAGAAATTAACAATAATAAAAGGCGAATCTGTGTTTGAACAGGGCCCTCGAGCTTGAATACCCTCGAGCTAGTTATGCAAGAACAGTTAAAATCCAATAAGCTGATAAACAAAAGAGTGTAAATTGAATAGAGAATATTGTATTGTTTTGATATGCGTGAATGTAAGATGATTACAAAGTGATTAGGATCCCCTTTATATAGTAGAGGAATCCTATTTATGGTACAATTCTAATTACGGAAGTAAATCCCATGATTAACTAGATAACTGCCCTTGATTTGATTTGTTCCGAGATTTACGTGATGATCTTCGGCCAGTCACGAATATCTCGCTTTTCCATTGTTGTGCTTTGCTCGAAGTCTGTCATATTTGGTCTTGATCGCTGCTGGCCTCGATCTCGACAGGCACCTCGATCCTTGGACTCGATACCTCGTCTTTGTGCTTCGGTCTAATCCATTACTAGGCTAACCCTTGATGCATTTCCCTGGTCTTGATCAAATAGCACAATCGGGTAGGCCTGGTTTTAACCGTAGACAGAGAGTCCCCTCGTTTCTTGGAATGTAATTAGAAGAAATGAATTGAGCCTTCGATTTTGTACCTCGATCTATCATGACGTCACCCTCGTGAGGTAAGCGACGGAAGCGACCGAAACGTCCTATCGGTATAGTTCCCAAAATTATTAATGAGTGTCAGTTGGCGGTCGGCCACCAGTGCCTTTGAACCGTTGTCGTGAATCCTTAAATAGGTCTTCTTCTAACTTCCTCAAACTTTACTTTGAATTTTTCTTGTACTAATCTTCAAAATCCCTTTGAGTTATTCAAGTCTATCTGCAAATCTTCAAAGCTTTTCGCATCTTTTAAGCATTATCGTTCTGCATAGTCTCCTAGGCTTCGTTAGCAACCCTTCCTCAAAACACCAAACCTAATTTTCTTTTTCCTTCTTTCAACTTACAGAGATGGCAGAAACATCTAAAGTCGTTCCTCAAAAGGAAAAAGCTTCTTCATCGTGGTCGTCCGGCGATAAAACGCCGGTGGATCCGTGCCCTGAGGAGTGCGTTCCTGAGGGGGTATGTTATCTTACTTCCAACTTTAAAGTCAAGAAAACTTCCTGTGTCTCTGGTCGGTGTGAGCCAATGTTGAGATACATGTGCTCGATAACTAAGAGTGACCTTGAGCAGGTCAAGAAAGACTGTAATTGGGATAAGAAAGAGGTGGTGATCCCGACCCCTAAGGGAGATATCACTACCCACGTGAATGGGTTTCTAAGTGTTTACACTTACCCTTTTATACTGGGCCTTGTCGACCCTGTCATCCTTAACTTCTACCGCCAATACCAAATAACCCTAGGTCAGATTCACCCTTCCTTCTGGCGGATTGTCCTTTTGTTCCAATTTTTTGCGAGCAAAAAGGAAGGGACGCCTTTCACCTTCGACCTCCTCATCAGGCTGACCGTCTTTTTCAAGGTGGACTGATAAATCTTCAGCATCGGGTCACCAAGGTATTATTCTCGAGCGTTGATGAGGACAATGATCGAGGGTGGATGGGTCGATTCGTCCGAGGGAAGACCTCTGACCTAATTCCGCCCGAGAAGATGCCATTTCCCGAGAAGTGGAACATGAAGCGTAAGCTCAATTTTTCCTTTGGCTTTTATTCACTGTTTTGTTTCCTTTACTTCTCCTCATCGACATTTTGTTCTATGATGTAGCAGTTGTTTGGATGCCTGGTGTGATTTCTAACCTCGAGAGCTGGGTTCGGACCCTAGCTTCGACCTCTTCGTACGTTGAGAGCTCATGGCTCGATTTAGCAAGTGGCCGATGGGAGACCAAAAATCACGGTATGTCTTTCCTCTACGTATCTGATGGCTTTTGTTAGAATGTTTCCCTTCTATACTCACTTAGTTCTCTTTTATACAGGCCTCGGGAAAGATGCCGCCATGAGGCCCCCATCCAGGGAGGAAGAGGTTTCACTCCCGGTCCCGAAGCCGGTGAAGGAAAAGAAAAGAAAAAAGGTTTCGCCCTCCGATACTCCGAAGCCCAAGAAGAGCAAGGCTCATAGGTCAAAGAAAGACATTGTCATCCTGCCTGCTGATGTAGCTCAGTGGCTAAGGGAGGAAGAAGAGGAAGATGAAGATGCCTATTGCAGCTCGATCGAAGAAGAGTGCCAAGGCCCCAAAGGTCGTTGAACCAGTGATAATCAAAGAGGTTCAGCCTCGGATCGAGGATATCTCGGAAGATGGCCCGAACAAAGTCCCCGAGTCATCGGAGGCTAAAGATGCCTCTCGCCGTGATGAGCAATTGGCGGATGTGCCTGAAGGAACCGCTCCCGAGACTCTTCGAAATGAAGAGAACGCCCCAAGTGACTTGCTTGGGGCAATAGAAATTGGTGATTCACCGACCCTCCCCACATTTTTCGAGGGGCAAATTTAGGAAGCCCAGGATATAGAGACCCCTGATATGGGAACGACCCATGAAGGGGAGGACCTTTTCCGTTGTTGCTTCATGGGGGTCGAAGATGTTACCGACTTGGGTGATTCATCGAGTCTCTTTGACGAGGCTCAACGACTTCTGAGCCGGGTAAGCCTCAATTCCCTTCATCAATATTATGCTTGCATTTATTTCTTCTTGCATGATTTCCTTTCTTTCTTCGTAGGCCTTGACACTTCATCGGGAAGCATTTTCTAAATCGCGGTCAGAGCTGAGTCGATGCGAGGTCGATCTCAAAAAGCTCACGGAGGAGAGAGATGCCCTCAAACTTCTCAGTGGGCAAAAAGAAAAAGAGATCAAGGACCTCCGAGATAAATTAGCAACAGCTCATAAAGAGCAGACTGACTTGATTGAGCAGGTAATGTAAAGTTTTGGAAGCTCGATATATCAATTCGGGAACGACGACTAACACTTTGATCCTGCAGGTTCAGCAGAAAGCCGAAAAGATCGAGCAACTTCGTGAGGAGGCCAAATGAAGGAAGAGACTTTTGGATGGAAGCAAAATATGGACTGCCTTGCCTCGGAAAAAGATATTGCTCGAGCCAAACTATCGTCGGCCGAACATTAACTCCAAAGCATGAAGGAGGAAAGCTTGGCCCGAGCCAAGAAAATTGAGGAGCTCGAGGCTCGGCTGGCCGCCAAGCTTGCAAAGGCCACAACTGAGGCAGAAAGAGTAAATGCTGAAGCTGAGGCAATCGTGGCCGTGTACCGAGATGATGCTTAAGCTTCTCAAGCTAGAGCAAAAGAAGGTGGCTGACACCGCTCAGACTCGATCATACTAGGCCG